AAATCAATATTAGGGTTAATTTCACCGACCACACAACACGTTTTTATTATTGTCACACTACATGTTTCGACCTCAAGAGGTCATCCTCAGGTGTATGAACACAGTTGCACAATCACACGCAATCACATTTGGTTTCCACTTATTTCGATCCTTTATCCTGTTCAGGCCTACACTCAATTATATATGTCAAGTTCTTCTTATAAAATACAAGTTAAAATACTATTCAAATGTTAAAAGTTAAGATTTAAAATTTAAAAATTTAAAAAATTAAAAAAAATCATTTAAATTTTTTTAAATGTTTTAAATTTTAAATTTAAAAGAGGATGACCTCTTGAGGTCGAAACATGTAGTGTGACAATAATAAAAACGTGTTGTGTGGTCGATGAAATTAACCCTAATATTGATTAAATACACAACAGGATGCAAGAAACAATTAAAGCCTTGATAAAATTACGACTCCTGCACCAGGTAAAGTTTAGGTTTCTTAACTGGGTGTCTTATAGATCTTTGTCTCCTTGTGGAGGCAAAGGTCATTAGTTTATTGACATTTTGACTTTGATTGCCATTTGTTTTCACATCTCAGTGAGCACATTGATTAACACATACAGCTCAGAAAACAATTCCAGTTATAGCAAGGGAACCTGTGAGTTTTGAGGTTTTTGCTGTGGTGAATATTTTATTGCAGTCTTCTAGGATGCAATTTTATATAGGCTTCCTTTTTTCTCCCACCATTTTCCCCACCTTCTCCATTGTAGTATACATTTTCCTTCATTTCATGTAATTGTCTTTCAGCAGCTGTTTAATTGCCCCCCCCCCCAACCCATTTCAGTACCTCAGACCACCATTTGACTGGCCAGAATCCACTCTATGAGTACTACTCTCTTTCCTATATCACTCATGTCTGGTTTTTCCCTGCAGTAGATTGCTCACAAATATTGGAACCTATCTGCCATACTACAAGGTGTCACATCCCAGAAGGCCACAACTGTGAGGAAACGTGTATTTCAGTTTTGTCCCATGGGCAGTTTATACATTAAGAAGTTTAGAAACTATTTAAAATTCAGTAGCCATGTTATTGCACGCATTAACTCATTTCTGATGGATTTAATTTAACACATGCTGTCTGTACAGGTAATCGTTGTTTCAGTCACTTGCACTCTCCTCTTGCTGCACACTGCACACTCTTTCTTCTTAAACTAATATATGAAATGTTGCTGCTCATTCAGATATTCTTCAGTATCACCACAAGAAGGTCACCCTCAGTTTCTGGCACTTGAGTTCCTCACATCACCAAACGGCTGGCTAACTGTTCTATTAAATTGCTCCTGAACATGAGGTGAATTTTCTTTCTGTTCAGTTCATCAAAATAAAAAATATACAACTGATGCCTCCAACAGCCAGAAGAATAACTTTCTCCTCCATGCATACGATTTGCTTTTGCAACCATAACTTGTGATGTGGTCTACTCTGTCAGCAGTCACACGCACAGCCATCGGCTTTACCCCTTCTTCACTCTCCCCTTTTCTCACTACCCCTTCTTCTCTTTGTGTGCCCACATTGTGTTAAGTGCCCAAAATCAGGACAACCCTTTTGTGTTCCCGTGCCAAGTGCCTGAACTTCACCCTTCTTCATTTTCATCTTCCTGAACTTTTCTGCTTTTCTTATAGTTCCTGTTAGTGAATTTTTTTTCCATCATGTCTGTACTTCTTTCACTGCTCTTATAGAAGTGGGCTGTATATAAATGAAAACCATGTCCATCAATAGACCATGATAACCAGTCACCTGAATGGAGCACTGGCCTGATCCCTTTCCAAAGTATGGAGCAGTACTTGAAGTGTACCCAAGCTCACAGTCCCTAGTAATATACACTAGTAACCCAAGCTCTGCTGGTTTCTTTGGGTTATGCATCTTAAAGATGAGTCAACCTTTGAACTCAGCAGTGCTGTCATATATGGCTGGGTAACTGCTTAGGGTAAAATGTTTAAGAAATCTACAATCAAAATACAGAGCTACATTTTTTATTCTCTGTGCTCCACTTGTCATGCCTTCTTCTGGGGTGTTGGGAGGGTACAAGTGAAATATCAGAAAACAGTGATATCAACTGAACACATCTCTGAGAAACAGGTTCTTTGTCCATCCAAGTTTCGGAAAATTATTTTCTTCTCCACTTTATCATAGAGCCATGTTCATAAGCACTCCCAGCTCCTCCATGGTTATAGTATGTGAAATGTGACATAAACTAATCTCAGCTGTGCAGTATGAGCTTGCGAACAATTGTTCATGTGTGTTGTGAGGTAATGTAAGCAGTTTGAACACTGTTGTTTTTGTCACATTGTCCCTTATTGCACTGCTGTCTTCCTCCTCTTCCTCTGCACTGCCATCACTCTTTTCTTCATAGCAGTTTTCATTTTCACTTTACACATCACTAGTATCAATGTCACTGTTAGAATTACTCAACAAGTATTCTATTTCTTTGTCTCCAAAACTAGTTCTGTGAGTGTGAACATCACTTGTAGAAGCCACCTTTGCGGGTGCACTTGATATATGAAAAAGAAGAAAATAATTTCCTATGGTTCTGATAGAGTATTTGAATACTCACTGCCATCTATCAGCTAAGTAAAATACCAACTATAAGCCCTACACTGAGTATGCCATAGGAGAACAAGGACAGTATGCATGGTACACCCAGCATATCCATGGACAGGGAAGAGTTAAGCAGCCTACTCCAGAAGGACTTGTATTTTTCTCTAGTATCACTTACACTAGGAAACCTAACATACAGGCTTGTCCATGCAGGAGAGACATACTATTGAACTTTTGTTAAGGAACTTGCACATTTTTTCATGAACAAAGTAATGGATTCTCCATGTACTGCATATTTTTAGCCTACTTTCCATGTTTTAAAAAAAGAAAAGGAGACTCGTGAGATCACCTTACTCTCTTTGTGTCACCTCTGATTTTTTCGTTTTCTGTCTGGTCTATATTGTGTGAATGCTACATGCTGGAAGGTCATGGGATCGATTCCATGTGAGGCTATTGGATTTTTCAATTCGCCTAATCCTTCCAGCCGCACTATGGGCCTAGGGTCAGTGCAGCCTCCAACAGAAATGAGTACCAGGAATGTTCCTGGGTGTAAAGGGCAGCCAGCATGTAAGGATGACAACATGGCTGCCATCTGTGAGCCGATTGTCTAGAAAATGTGGGAGCCTTGACATCTTGCAACCCTAAGGGTCTGCATGGCCTGCTACAGGAATATTTTTACCTTTTACCATATTGTATGAAGGAGGCTTATGGGATCACCTTGCTGTCTGTATGTTCCCTCCTAATTTTTTCATTTTCTGTGTGGCACATGCCATCTGAAAGGAAAGTAGGTTATTAGTTGTTTCCAGAACTTCTTGGTTAGCTTCAGGTTGTACCTTATTATTGTTATCTTTTATGATTGAAACCCAGTTGTGTTAAGTAGATTCTAAACGGCTCAGGCGATGGTATGTAATATTCAGAATTACTGGGTTTTTGGACTTCGTTCATCATCCGGTTTTCTAGAAACTAGAAAACACAACGTTTTCGAAGCTGGTTCTGTTTCCATCCTTGGGGGAGGGGGAAGACACCTACTCTTTTGGGTCCCTTAGATAGAGCTAACCTCAATGACTGGAGTAGGTGTCTTCCCCCCTACCCCTCACCTGAGGATGGAAACAGATCTAGTTCCTGAAACATTGTGTTTTATAGTTTGCAGAATGTGGTACAATGGGCAGAGTCCAAAAACCCAGTAATTCTGACCAATTGTCTTAGTATTTTTGTACCAGACCTTGCATTTGAGTGGCTAACATTGCTACTTCATGTTTAGGTCAGGGCTCAGAGACAGGCTGTCCTGACTGAGGTGTTTCATGGATTTCCTCAGACTGTAGGAAAATCCTGTTGTAGTGCTGTAAGTCAGATTTATACTGTTATATGACTCAAAAAAGGAACCAAACAGTCAGCAAAACATAACAGATATTTTAATTGAGACTGCAGAACTGCAGGTATAAGAGTCTGGACTTCCACATGTGGATATAGCATTGTTTGAATAAGAGCGCAGAACTCTGGCATTAAGGTTTTAAACTACTAACGTAAGACTGATATATCAAATTTTCATCTTATTAATATACGTAGGTAAGTCAATAAGTAAGTTACAAATGGATATGGAACTTAAACAAATAAGAGTACTGATTTGAAAAATGCTTTTATTTCTCAACATAATCTCCCTGTACATTGAGGCACTTGTCCCATTGTTTCACAAGCCTCTGAAAACCAGCAGCATAAAATTCTTTGGGCTGCTGTCGGAACCAGGCGTGTTCACATATTATGGCCTACCTCATAACGCATGACAGGTTGCATGCTTCCATTGAATGGCCTTAAGAAGTTTCCTGAGGAAGTTACAGTAGGAGTTGGCATTTACGGTTTGTCCTTGAGGCTGGAATGTTATGAGCAGTATGCCTTCGTGATCCCAGAATACTGAGCATCACTTTCGGTGTCACCCTAAACTTTTTTTGGCAGGTGATGCAGGATATTTCCACTGCATTGATGCACGCTTTGTCTTGGGCTGGTAATTGTGAACCCAAGACTCATCACCTGTGACAGTTCGGGCTAGCATATCATGTCCTTCATCATGGTAGCGATTGAGATGTTGTAATGCCAGACCCATTCTTTGCATTTTGTGTTGTGGGGTCAGTATCTATGGCACCCATCGTGCACAGACTTTGTGAAAACCTAACCTGTCATGCATTATGAGGTAGGCCATGCCGTGTGAACATGCGTGGTTCCGACAGCAGCCCAAAGAATTTTATACTGCTGGTTTTCAGGGGCTTCTGAAATGATGGTACAAGTGCCTCAATGTACAGGGAGATTATGTTGAGAAATAAAAGCATTTTTTGAATCCGTACTCTTATTTGTTTAAGTCCTATATCCATTTGTAACTTACTTATTGACTTACCCTCATATATCATGTTTTATATGCTTTTCAGATCCCGACAAACAATCTGTACTATAGAAACACTTTTGAAGGAAGCAGAGGCCATTCCAGCATTTCTTCCCAATATTGGAACCTTAAAAGATGCTCTTAAAAAGGGAAAAGAATGGTCTACAAAAGTAGAAACAATTCAGGTATGGTTTTCTATGTATGGAAAATGAATTTCTTATATTTTGTTTATAGTTTGTAGTTTTGGAGGTTGTATCAGTTATCATGAGTACAGTATTATGTTGGGACACGCTGTAATATAGTTGGTTGAGGCACTGTGCTACAAGCCAGAAGGTTGCAGGTTCAATTCCCGATGATGTCATGGGATTTTTCAGTTGATCTAATCCTTCTAGCCGCACTATGGCCTTGGGTCACTGGCAACCCCACTATCATGTCGGAGCCACAACATCACAACCCTATGGACCTCCACAGCCTATTACAGGGATAGCTTTACCTTTACATTTGGTAGTGTACTGTTTTTTCAGGCTTTATTGTACAGTGAGAAGTATTTAGTACTTATGAACTTTCTCCACATTGGGTATGAAATTTTTTAGAATCCTTTTGTTGCTTGAAGAATATCCACTCAGGCCATGTGCTTCTAAAGGGTGTGCTTGCTTTGCCAGTTTATTTTCTGACAGCAGAGTACATTCACTTTTCCTCACAAATATCTTATGTATAAATGAATTCTTTGATATGTAATCTTTATATTCCTTTCCTTATTTCTATAGAGGGCTGAAAATTTCCCCTATATGGATGCTTTGGAATTGCTTGTAAACAAAGGGCGGAGCATCCCTGTTCGTCTGGAACTGCTTCCACAACTAGAGTCACAGCTGAATGGTGCCAAGACATGGAAAGAACGAACAGCTCGTACCTTTTTGAGGAAGAACTCACATTACACACTAATGGAAGTAAGTGCACATGTGATTTTCATGTTAAGCTGCTTTGTCTCCATTTATTTTATTCCTTGTTTACTGATTATGTAATTGTCAATCCCTTTCCTTACAAAGGAGGTTAATAGCATGTACACACATGTCCCAAAGACTGCATAGTACCAAGAGTCCTTACTATATTGTATGTACATCACACACTGTTATCTGTGTGCAAATTATCTGGTTCACAGCTTTTCTATATGCTTTTTTTTGGGGATGTTTGCAACCCTGTGGAGCACCTCTCACATCCATCTGCCTGTATGTGTTAAACAACTGCAGTGTTGCTGAACAGATTTTCATGACATTTAATCTTATGAAGAACTGTGTAGCCAATTCAGTTTTCATATGAAACAGAATATTTTAAAGACTGCTTTATGTGAAGAACTGGATTCATTTTTGCATGTGTTTCAAGCGTGATTTTTTAATATTTGTTGGCGTGAAGAATGATGTGAACAAAAGTATCAACAAACGAAACATGCATTTTATGTTCAGTACATTATTTCTGTAAGGCCCTTTATATTTCACTTCCTGGTAAATGGTATAATTACCGTCTTATTAGGATTGGTTTAAAGGCTTGTTCTTTCACACCATCGTTGGACCGTGTACAGAGCTGTTTGAAGACACTCTGATGCTGCTGAAAGGAATCTTTTGTTTATGAGGATTGCTATGTCATCAGCATATCCTGCTGTATAATACTCATCATCATTAAGTCCCCACAGAAGATCATCAACGGCCAGGCTCCACAGCAGAGGTGAGAGCACACCCCCCTGTAGACAGCCCCTAGACACAGATGCCCCCAGGGTTTCTCTTAGTGTGGCAGCTATGGTTCTGCTTTCTAGCATACCACTGATCCACCTGCATATTGCAGGCTCTATGCCATGCTTTCCAGTGGCCTGTTTGATTATATCAAATGAGGTTCTATCAAAAGGTCCCTCTCTGTCAAGGAATGCTCCTAAGGCAAATATCCTTGTGTTCAGTCGCACTTTCTGTGCATGTTACCACATTGTGTAGTGTGCTTCTGGTAGATTTACCTGTTTGGTAGGCATGCTGGTTTCGGTGTAGAGGATATGTCCTCAATGCCCCGTCCCTGATATGCCTATACACTATTTTCTCCATTGTTTTCAAAAGGAAAATCACCAGGCTGATAGGACGATAAGCCTTAGTCTGTGTGTAATCTAGTTTCCCGGGCTTTAGGATAAATGTCACCTTAACTTGCCCTCATGCCATAGTGATAAAACCATATGCCATGCACGCTCTATATATGCGGCATAGGTGTGGAACTAAGAGTTCTGCCTCTTACTGCAAAAGTGCCGGTACAATTCCATCTGTTCCCTCTGACTTAAATGGTCTAAATGTATTCAGTGCCCATCTGATTTTTTATTGGTTAATCATGACTTTGGCCAGGTTCCAGTCTACGATGTTCGTCTTGCTTTGGCAAGTGCCCAGGTTTTGCTGACCCTGTCCATTGTCCAAATTATCAATCAATTTTGAATCAGGAAAGTGAACCCTGTATAATTCATTCAGTGTCTCCCATCGTGTTTGAGTATACTGCCCGTTAGGCAGCTTAATCGTTCTGACCTTGTTGGTCGCCTGTTTTGCCATGATTCTCATGAGGCTGGCACCACCTGGTACATCATTGATCTTCTTGCAGTGTCTCCTCCATGAGGATCACTTGGCCTCCTTATTTCTTTGTTGTAATAGGTAAGGGCTTCCTTGTAGGTGTCCCACTGCCCTGTTCTTTTAGCTGTGTTAAACATCCTTCTCATTTTGGTTCTAAGCCCACTCAGCTGTTTATTCCACCAAGGCACTCTTCTTGGTTAGCGAGTGGTCCTGGCTGGACAAGTCCTATTAAAGGACGAGATAATAGCCAGTTGGAACTGGTCAACGGACCGATCAACATCCTTTAGTGTGCGTATATTTTGCGAGATGGTCTCCAGATTTACCTTTAGGTTGTCTTTGTAAGACTCCCAATTGGTTCTCTTAGGATTCCTGTAAGTAGCTTGATCTACTACTGTAATGTTGTTTACTAGAAAGCATATATCGTATCTGAGATCCGATAGGAACAGCTCATCAGATACATGCCAATTACTTACCAGGTTTCCTATTTTATTGGTCCCTAGTGTCAAGTCGATAACCTCCTGCTTATTGCAGACCACAGATTTAGACTCGTTACCTTGGTTTTGAATATTAAGTTTCGAAATCACCAGATATTCCATGAGGCATTCTCCTCTTGAGTTGATGTCGGTGCTCGCCCACAATGTGTGGTGCGTATTGGTGTCACACCCAATGATGAGCTGCTTTTTCCTAAGATGGCAATATTCAGTGATGTCCCTCACTTCTTTGGAAGGTGGTGGTTCATCCGAGTCATATGGAAGGTAGGCTGAAGTGACAATGAGCTCCTCACAGCCTCCGCCCAATGTGTATGTCATCATCACCATTGTTGTGTCTCTGGAGGAGAACTCCAGCAAGGGTAAAGCATTAATATGATATTAACATACATGCATTATCTCACATTTTCTCCAGGTACCACAGAGTAGACTGTTCCCCCAGAATTCGTTAAGCCTCTTATTTGGCCCCTATATATCCAAGGTTCCTGAATAAGTGCTACGTCTACTTTTCCTTCAACAAGTTGTTGACATAAAATTTCCATAGCAGCCTTGCTGTGGTGTCGATTAGTCTAAATGAATTGTACTTTATATGTAAATGTCATGTGTATGTATGTTGTGTGTTGATTCTGTAATGCTGGGAAAGATGTCCTCCTAAATACCTTCTTCCACAGCTCCTTTTCTTTATCAGACCTTGTTTCCTCTGAGAGAGGTCCCTGATCTGGTAAGTCCGGGTTGATGAAAGGAGGGATTGTCTTCTTCTCATCAGATATTCTTTTCCAGTCAACTGAGGGAGTGGGTACATCATCCCCCTCCCCCTCAGAGACCGAGTTGGATGATGCTGTATCTGACACAGGTTCTGCCCGATGCTGATCCCCAGGATCATCCAGCACCTTAACAGTCCCTGTGAGAGTCCTGTAAATATTTTGTAACCGGTCCTCTGTATAATAGTATGGGAGTCTCGGTCTATGAATAAGATGAGCCTCTGGCCTTTCGACTCAGACTGCTTATCGAGTACCCTCCAGTTCTCAGTATGAAGTCCTGGATTGAGTCTGCAGTCCATTTCATCAGCTCTTCCTGATTCTGGGCAACTTTGTCCCTAGTCTGGAGAGCCACTTTAAAAGACTTGGTTAGGTTCCTGGCATCACTAGCCTTCAGCATGGCCCCCTGATTCCAGCCTGTAATAGCTTTGATGAGCCATTGACCAGACTGTTGGTCACCACGTATATAATAAGTTCACCTCCCTCCAGACTGTAGGACTTCAGCTGTGGTAGTTCTCCCTTTGGAGTCCTATGTAACACCTCCCCCAGTGCTTCCAGAATGGAATTCTGGTCATCTCGGTAAGCTTAACCTCAGGATAAGTTTCCTTGAAGATAGCTACCTTTATGTTGGTCAGAGCCTTCTTGTAAGTCCCTGGTCCCTTAGAGTCCCTGGGCCTTTTCAGAGTTATAGCCGTTTCTGCAGGGGTACTGTCCTCCGACCTTGGCCCCTTTAAGGTACTGGTGGAGGTTTCTCCCTGCTTGGACGAGCCTGCATTTCCTGGTTGCTGTCTGCCCCCAGTTCCTGCTTTGCTTGCCCCAGCTCTTGCCTTTTCAACTTCAGTCTGGCGCATCCAGACAAGGCTCTTTTTGCTAGACGCAGGCCACCTACTCCAGCGACTAGGTATCCCAATCCTCCTACTGCAGGTATGCTAGAGGTACTAGCCCCCTGTAGGGGTATGTCAGTACTACTGACTCCCAATAGAGTTTTTCGTTTTACCTCAGGTAGGTTCCGAACCACTGGTTCGTCCCTGCCTTTGGTGGAAAGTTCAACAGCAGGTTTGCTGGTTGCAACTGGGTCTCTTAGTGGTTCACCATAGCTTCCAGCCCCCTGCTGAAGCATTTCTCATAGGAATCCCCTTGGAAGTGGGTTCCTCTTCCGTTTAAGGTCCTTACAACCCGTTTTTAATTTAGTTCCTTTCATTTTGGTCCCACAAGTCATGGGGATTTAAAAGGTCACCACCCGCAGCGCCCCATACGGGTGGAAGGCATAAATACAATGAGGTGCTGCCTGGTACCCCGAGGAGATCATTCAAGAGACTGGCTAATTACCACCCCAGTGCCATGCAGCCCTCAGCACGATGCCTCACACCTTGGCTTAGGTGGTCTTGTCCTGTTGTGAACGAAACCCTCACAAGCCTCCAGGACCAAGAGTGCCTGTTTGGGGGGAGGGGGGTATCCCAGATGATTAATGGGAGTGTGACACCAGTTACCCCATAGGAGTGCTCTCCCACATTCGTCCCTGGTACACCATAGTGACACCCAAGAGTCATTATGCTGCCGCGTGGGAGGCTCTGGTCATAATGCCATTGCCCTTATGGGAGCTTGGCTGCCAACCTCAGAAGGTCATACTGATCCAGACTCCCAAGACTGTTGTTGCCCAGTGGGACCACGAGGAGGTGTCCCAACTCATCACTGGTCCATGATGCATCCCCATCAAAGACACAGCCATGGTTCAGCCAACCTCACCGAGGATGGCGTCATTACCACCTGTAACATGTGACATAAGAATGTTACAGTTACCCCGGGATCAAAACTGGGCCACCAAGCCTCTCCTGTAGTTAGTTAGTTATTAGAGAGGGTGGGTTTCCCCATGCACTTAGACCTCTAGTGGTCCATTGTGCTTCCCTCTATGATTTCTACCAGTCTCTATATCCTACCGGTATTGGTGCTTACCATCAGTCCCACCCAGCCAGCGAGACCAGCTCTCTACTGGCTGAGAAGTATCTATAATGCTTCCCCCATCTACCGGAGGTATTAGCGACTGCTGTTGGGTGGGAAACATCCGCAATTTTGGCTCAGTGACCTCCTTTGGAGGTATGAGGTTCTTTTACGTGCCGTAAAGCTACGACACGGGACCCTGGTTTAAAGTCCCTCCCGGAGGACTTGTTCCCTGAATTTTTCCGCCCTTAAAAATTCGACGACCTCCGCCGGGTATTTGAACCCGCGTACTACGAGTCATGAGGTGGGAATGTTACCTCTCGACTATGGAGGCCGCTAGCCTCTCCTGTAAGTCAACTCTCTTAGTGCCGCGTTCTCAAGGCTACTCATTCTGAAAGCCCATAGATATGGTGCCAGTCTATCATCTTTCTTTCTGAGATGATGCTGGATTTTGTAGACTAAATTGTTGATCTGGGTGATCATCTTGTAAGGAGGCCTTCCCATCAAGGTGGAAGTCTTGGTAAATTCCCTTTGTCCAGGTTGTGTGGTACAAGCATTCTTAATCTCATTCATGGAATCCCACACAACTGGTTAGATGGTCGTAGAGGTCCATCATCCTATCCTGTCACTGACAGGGTCAGTGCTTTCAAGTGGTGTCTTGCTGTAATGCTGGCACATCAGGGTCCAGCTCCAGATTGGGGTACCTTTTCTTGCTGCTTGAGTGTCTCATTGTTGGGAAAAGCTCTCAACATCCCCCATGCAAGTAGCTGATAGTATTGTGGTCTATTGTTGTCGGGGGTTTTGTTGACACCAGCATGTCTTCCTGATGATCCTTGATGGACTTCTCCAGCACCTCCTTCACCTTGCTTTGGGGAAGAACTGTTTAGGTTGTATTGAACCTTGTGTAAGCCATATCCTATCAGTGATCCAGTACGGTGTCTTCCACCACTAGGGACTGCCACTGTGCCCATTAATTCTTGTAGTTGAGACTGCATGAGCAGTGTTTTTCTACTTGGGGTGCTGTTCAGCTACCATATTCTCTAGGGTCAGCCACACATCATTATCTGGCTGCTATCCATCTAGAGTGACATGGTTCCAACCATCTGTGATGTGAGCAGTGACAACTCATAGCTTCAGGCTACTGACTGCCATTCATCTGTCTGGTAGAGAGTACAGGCTTTGCAATGGAGTGCATTCTCATTGGTGTGCTTCTGCCCTTGGTGATGTTTGACCATCATGATATGTGCCTCTCATGGAGGATGAACCAGCATCCTTGCCCTGTACAGTCCTTTTCAATGGACAGCCTTCGGACATGGTCTCGCTATGCTGATGCACTGCCACCAAGAGGCCCTGAAACTGTACGGTCACAACTGCCGCACAGCAGAGCCAGTATTGCCTTGTTGCTGGTCATCAAACAGGGAAATGGTTGTTGTGCCCCAGGAAGCCATAATGACACTTCTTTCTCATGAAATCTCAGCACAGAGTGCCTTAGATCCACTGCAGGGTCATAAGCTTGCAGGATGGATTCATTTGTGATCTTTTCAATGACCACCCTGATTTGTAGTGCCGTGTGTGCCAGAGGCCGCTCCTCTGTTGCCTCCTCCAAGACAGGGAGAGTCTTACTGGACACTATCTGCAGAACCTGCTTCTGACTCAGGTTCCTCTTGGGCATTTCTGCAATGATGTGAAGCTCGGCAGTGGTAACAGAAACCCCAGTGTCAGTGATCATAGGGCATGGCTTGTAGAACCCTGTCTATCCCCTGGCATTTAGGCTGTCATTCCTCTTGGCTGACATTTGAGGGTGAAACGTGGGAGTGAGGGTGATTATGCCAGTGACTTTTTCTTTGCATAGGCTATTACTCATTTCTTTAGGTCAGCCTTCTGTCAGGAAATTCTTGTCATGTTTCCGTCAGCAGTATCTGCGACTTTGATGATTTACTTCCCCACACTGTCAGCATACAGGTCATCTTGTCCAGCAGCTTGTGACTGTGTTTCCATTAACTCTGGCCCCTCCCTCCCACAGCCTCATTGGTGGTCCAGCCACTGCCTTCAAAACCTCTGGCTTGAGGACTAAGCTGAGAGCTTCAGTAAAATACCTCTTATCATGCCTGAATGGTTTACTTCACTTCCTGGTCCTTCATGTCATTGATGAAAGCATAAGCTGCCTTCTTTCAGATGGAAGCCCTTGGTTAACTTGACAAGGACCCGACAAGCCAGCTGCTTGTTGGCTGCTGGAAGTTCTTATAGAGACACGCAGTTCAGATGGCTCTTTTCTGGGTTGAGACTGGCAGGCCTCCACCTGCAGGTGTTCCCTGTAGTTGTGCTTCAGTTCCCACAATGTCCTCATACGTCACTACAGCTTGCACCCATAGACTGATATGGCAGTGAGACCACTCATCCCTGTGTTTTCACAGACTGGTATGTGCTGCACAAACTAGCGGTGAGACCAGTTGTGCCTGTGTTTCCACAAACTGGTATGTGCTGCACAAACTGGCGGTGAGACCAGTGGTCCCTGTGTTTCCACAAACTGGTATGTTCTGCACAAACTGGCGGTGAGACCAGTGATCCCTGTGTTTCCACAAACTGGCAGTGAGACCAGTGGTCCCTGTGTTTCCTGAACTCCTGGCACACGGCTTACAGATTGCATTTGATTGCCTGCAGCTTGTTGTTGAATTCCTTATGAAGATTCTTGGTCTGCTGGTTGACCACTGTCATTATGCCCTGATGGCACCTATTTCATGCCTGCACTCATGTCTGTGCATAGTTCTTCCAGAAACTTTGTCTTGGCTGGCACATGTGCCCTTTTCTAATTCCTAACCTTTCTTGAGTTCTTGGGTAGTGCTTATGTCTTTTCTTCTTTTGGCTGTTCATATCCACTTGCAGTGCTGGATCCATCAGGCTTTTGATGTTAGTTGTACCATGTATTGTTATTTGGAGCAGCTGTTTTCTCACCATTAGTATCCACTTATGATTCTGACGTCAGTTCTTGCCCCCCTGTCATTTCACTGTAACGCCACAGCTCACTCTCTGCTCTGTTATCTTCTTTTATCTTCTCTCTGCATACACCAGGCTTCTTGCTGACTACAAACTACTGAACTGAGAAGTAACTGACTTGCTGCTCTGCTACACAACTATTTAATTCACGCACACACATCTGCATTATGTTGCCAAGTGAGAACTTCTCCTCTTGGCGCTTGTATGGCAACTTTCGGAGAGTTTTTTGTGAGAACTCTGTGAAAAGTCTAGGGGGGGGGGGATCAGTGTGTCAGCCTCAACAAGAAGCCTGTTTTGGTCTGGAGGGGATGTTGAAGGCCAAGGAAAACCTCAGAATAGTTAATATCTTGACTGTGATTTGATTCAGATACTTCCTGAATGCATGTCAGAAGCCAACTTGCTCATTGAAGTAGAGCATGAAGTGAGGTTTTCTCTGCTTGATAATGTTCATAACACATTTTCAGGAATTTTTTTATCAGGCACACCAAGTTGTAACAACCATGAAACCCATGTTTGTGTGTCCTCTGTTTCATTATATCTAGTTCTTTTAGCATAAGAATACGTGTTGTGCTACATTAGTATCATATAAAAGAAATACTGTGCTTTATTCATTTATAACGTGTGCTTTATGGGAAGCACATTGCATATACAGATTTTGTTCTTTTCTTGACTGCATTTAAATCTATTAAAGTTGTTCCATATTTAATATTAATGACTTGATTGATTTTACACTATATATTTACTATACTAGGCATTGTCACCAAGAGTTGAAGTGGGTGTGTCGGCTTTGAAACAGAAAAAACGTCGTTTCCGTGAAGATAATTCGCCAGTTCTTATTGCTCCAGTAGTTTGTGAGGTTAAATTGGATGGAGATGTGGACCCTGCCGCTGTTGTTGCAGCTTTCAAGGTGAGTGAATAATGTATTCTGATAAGTGACTGGACTCACCTGCAGTTCATCGTGTGTACACAGTAAATTACACAATGGAAACTTTTGTTTATTAAAATGTTCTGCTGGTTACAGCAACCTGTAGTAAATACAAATGTATGTGTGTGTTTATGTGCATGTTTCATATGTGTGTACTATATTTACATGAGTGGAAGGTGACTTGACATCTAAGAACTCCCCTGCCCCCCATTAAGGAACATGTACCCATGTAAAGAGAGTTTTGTATGTTGTTTTCATATGTTTGCTACAAAGAAACACATAAGAGACAATAACCGTTTTAAACATGTTACATTTGTTAAGACAAGTCTCTTTCACTGTGTTCTTGAAGTCACTTGCCTTTGTTCAATCTCTCTTCATCATTTCTGTGACGGAACATTGCAGTCAGGTGATTAGCAATCCTATTTCGTATTTGGAAGGTTTTGGGTTCAGGTCTCAGCCCAGACACTAGCTGCCCTGACTGAGGGGTCTCATGAGTCCGTTCAGTCTTCCAGGCAGATGTTGGTACTAACATCTCTTCCACATCCTTTCTTCATTAATCATCTTATCATTCAGTGCTGTTTAATGTGTGATATTGCAAGTATCATTAAGTACTCTGAAAACATACAACCATTCCTGCCTTTTTTCATACATTAACAGTCTTCACCATTCCCAACTTTATCCTCGCTGTGAAATCTTTTCATTCATACTGTGGCTTGTGACCTCGAAACATGTCTCTTTATCAGGCGCTGTACTAACAGCATGGTATGGTAGCATATACTATATCTTAAAAATATCAGCCCATCAAAGCTTCAGACAATTGAAAACTTCATTATATGTTTTGTATTCGGATATAAAAATGGCCTTTCAATTTTAACTCTGAAAATAAGGCAAACACATCATCATCCATAAATACAATATTTGTTCCATCCATGGACAGTGATGACTTTCAGATGGCACGGACTTCACATCTTGAGTGCACAAAATGGTGTTGTCAGTATAATATAGGATAATCCTGTAGCTTCTAAGTCTCAGTTTAATTGAACCTGATGTGATGCAGTCCCTACTGACCTGTGTACCTGTAATATGAGTGTCAGCAGGGACATTGGTTTCCAAAACATGAGTAATACATGTAAGATTTAAGGTTTTCACGGCGGTGACTATGAAGAAAGCAGTCTTCTGGGATTTGGCACCGTGTATATGTGGTGTTAACCGACGTTTTGGAGGAACATGCCGGTTCTCACGGCCTCTTCGCCTGCGGATTTCTTATATTTTTCCTTCTACCCTGAAGATGGAGGCGATATGTTCCTCCGACATGTTGGTTAACACCACATATACACGGTGCCAAATCCCAGAAGACTGCTTTCTTCATGAGTAATACAGTCTACAGCTACATGGTGCCATCACCCAGGAACAGGATTCACATTACTCTTTGTCATGTATGGTACAGATGATAGCTGAAACTATCTCGACAACCAAACTGTTGTTAAGGGAAATTACAGCAGAACTCCCCATTTAATATCCACCACTTTAAGGCTCTTATTTACTGTTCAGTTTAAATGATCAAGGATCATTAATCGCAATTTTAAGTTTCCTGCATTTAAGATTTAACTTTGTTTAGTATTCCAATTCACTGTTCCCCAAAGAAACCATAAGTGGGAGTTTTGCTGTAATAAAAATGTGGCAGATTTCATGGATAAGAGGTTAATAACTACAGATTTGATTACATCAAATTTTTTGATAATATATTGATGAAGAGACTGTCAGTTTGTATAAGACTTAGGGTTTTCACAATGATGAAAATTTGTTTTGTGATGTCTGGATTATATTAATATTTAGTCAGGTGGCTGGGCAGTAATGTTTCTTAAGAATATGATGCCATGTAACTTTTATCATCAAGATGGAGGTAGTATATCGTTCCATCTTAGTGACATAATCTGGAAGACCACATTATTGTCTGTCTGAAACATCTTTGAGGGTACATCATACCTTGAGTAAAAAGCTCTATGGAAGAAAATCTTTGTGTTCGATGAGACCACTAGTGTGGTTAATTTGGTTCACACTGTAGGTTGAAAATAGAACTCTACTACCTTTCTAGTGATGTAGTAATGATCTACATCACTATCAGATGATGACAGTGTATGAGTACAGGTGTGTCATTTTGCTTTGTCTTCTGCTGTATGAGTAAAGCAAAGGCTCTACCAGCTCTTTTTATGAGAGTTGTCTGAAATTTACCATAGATTGTTTACAGTTTATTCATTTTATAGTACATGAAGTGTGGTGCAAGTTCATATGCTTACTTCTAGTGACATAAATTAGAATATTTTGACTGGTTACCACATGAGCAAAAATAATGAGTTCGGCTGCAGGACTCTTTTGTGCAGTATCTTCACCAGTTGAGTAAAAGACAGTGAGTTCATCATATTGAGCTCTTGCTCAGCCACTAAGATTAACTTTGTGGAGAAGGCAGTTCAAGATAAATTCATATGTTACTTCCAGTTTGTTGTGATTTGAATGCCTCTGTATGCTGCAGGTAATTGTAGGTATGGTTTCAAATTAATGTTTCTTTTTGGATCTTCACTGCCATCAGCAGTGTTTCCTTTCCGAGAAGCACCTACATTACCTCTCAACTTTACATCAAAACAGATTGAATGATCAGGTTTCCAAACTTACAACACAAGTACATGTACTCCCAAGCTCATGTGAACATTTCTTCCCCCCCTCCACCCAATTTTACTTCATTGTCAATATGGTAGTCTTGTCAAATGGGACATGTGGCATGGTAAATTGATACCTGTCAATCAAACTATGCATCATCACATCTCAGAAGATCATAATCATAATATTCACTGCCATGAGAACCTTAAGATTTCTTTCTTCATTGATGTTTACACTTACAGATGTCACCATTTATGTAACATCGTAAACTGTCACGCTGCATCATTTATTTGGAAAGTGACAAGGGGTGTAGTAGCTTTGATAGATGTCCTGCTATGCTACAGTAACAGAATATAACATTTTCAGGGAGCAGAGGAGCAGGAGATGGTTGCTATGCGTGATCTGCGTTTAGAGAACCTGAAGAAGAGAGTGAGTGACACTGGAGAGGCTAAATATTGCATATGCCGTCGTGGGGTTTCAGGTGTCATGTTACAGTGTGAATTGTGTAAAGACTGGTTCCATGGTATGTATATTATTATTTCAGAATTGTTTGTTTGTAGATGTAAAACTTTGAGCCTTCTAGGGGATAAATCTGTTTTAAAGTTGGAAATGGACACCTATTGCAGATGGCAACCACCCACATAGCAACTAGCTATTGTCAAAATCAGTCCTGCTGTTCCCACACAGTACACAGTTTAACTTATGTGAGTTACACATTATAGTGCTGATTATCTGCTTCTAAGTAGGACTTACATCTTGAGAGAATATGTGTATTCACAAAATTAAGCTCTTATCCACAAACAGCAGAAATTTCTCCCTGAATATTGGCTTTTAATATGACCTGTAAATAAATGGCACATTGCTTTAAATCAGTATGATGCTGTTTGCCGGATACATCAGCTGATACTGAAAAATTATTTTAAGCATGATTTGTAGCATTGCCTCCCGTAAGTACCCACATATTTCCTTTCTTACAGTTAGTTGATTGAAGAACGTTCGTAGAATTGAACTAGCATGGTGTTCAGAATCTGTTGTTTAATTTTAAAGAACAAGCACTTGCTGCATTCCTGACTTCAGCTTTACACAATTCAAAGAGACTTGCTGAATGGGGATTTTCTGTATTAATATGAGGGTGATTCAGGGATCACCTGGGCAGTCTTGTTTTCTTACAGAAAATATTCATGCCAGAATCACCAAACTTTCACTCCTTTTTGAGATATTCTCTTTTCACTCTAACACATTTCTCCATCATCCTGCCAAGTTACTGATGCCAGTAGCATAAAAGGTTTTATCCAATTCACAACCTCACATCTGAATTCATTGTAAGTTTGAATATTCTGTCCTCTTAGGTGTAACTTCATAGGTCCAAGCAAGTGAAAATCACTGGGCTATGTCAGGGCTCTAAGGAGAGTGGTTCATGATTTTATAGCCCATTGTCTCATTTCACCTAATAAGATTTGCTCTGTGTAGACAGTTGTTATCATGCAGTAACAAGCTGTCTTATAGGTAAACATTAACACCTTTGGGACTTAACAGTCTGCACTTCTTGAAAAATAAGTGTTCATGGATAAATGTTTAAACATTTGTAACACTTTTCCATTGTTGGATACAATATCACATGCTTCAGTTCACCTCTTTCCCAAAATACCTCTTCGACACCATGGATGTTTCACGTTGCATATATCTGTTGGCTGATCATAAGCATGTGGTAGGTTCAGAAAACTTATTTTGCAATTCATAGACACTTTCATGTGGCAGGGTCTGTTCCCCATGCTGTGCATTTAACCTGTGAAGAATTTCTGCTTGTTTCACTTTCATTTTCACTCTCACTAGGAATCTGATGATACAGCACTGTCCTACACTAGGAGTTACAAGATCTGATGTCATCAAAGTGGGGCTCATGGCCAGCTGCAAGGCAGTGATTGCAGTGTTACCACAACATGTCTGTTTTTCTGGTGCCCATATCTTCAGGAAAAAAATGTAGTCAAGGTTAAGCTTGACTGCCCCCTAGCTCTAGCTTTTGTCTAGATCAAGACTAAATGTACTTTAGTTAACTGGCTGTGATCAGGTGACCACATTTATGGAGCCCTAACTGTTTTGACTCTTCACATAATCGGTTAGAGGAAGGCATGCTGAGTCAGAAGGAAATACAGTCTATGGATCAGGAATCTGCAAGAGACCACTTGCAACACCAGCAGTTTTGTTGTGGCATGAGCTGTGGCTTCAGGCTCACCACATTGAAGAGAGAGCACTGAAATATGTAATTGCTTGGGCTAGTTTCCAGATAAATGACAGTTTTGCCATTTCTGTTCTGTAATCACATCAGTTTTACATTTTATTTTGGTCTGTACCTTTTCAACAAAACTTTTCTTCTTATCTCTATATTTGATTTACCTTGTACTATGAATCTGGGATATTTTTGGCAAAATATTCTCTGTGATGTGTGCATTGTGCAAATATTATACAGTGAGCCCTTGGCTAACTACATTAATGGAGGTGAAAAGTACTGGAGATAATTAAAAATGATGGATAGTATATAAATCTGGAAATAGACATACCCACTGTTGATGTTGCATTCAACCCTGAATATCACTGGATTATTACATATTGATTGTGGTATGGGCTTCTGAACAATGAGACATAGCTTTCTAGTAAAAGAAATCAGTCCTCCTTCAGGTTGGTGTATAAAGTGGTAAAATAATAAAGCTTAAAGTTGCTACAATGTGACAAGGTTTGCGGTCTAGTGCAAATCATTGTGAGACAGCACTGATATGTGAGCTGTAATCAGTAAATAAGGAGTTCCAAAAGCCCTGCAGTTAATCTGGAAAGTAGGTAATCCACATGCACATGATTTAGAGGTCTGCTGTGTAAGAACCATACTTCATGTGACCATTTGACAGAAGCACTGACTTGTTACGGTTGTCTCTGTGCTGGCATCATCCATCTACAGGGTGAGGCAGATGCAAAAATGGAAGAGTAGAAAATTCCAGTTTGTCTCCACATCTTAAAACAAGGATCCTGTACATTTCTAATTCTCAAACAGTTTAATTGATGTGGCTCATAGAATGATGTGACCTTTGCTTTCCTGAGAGAAATTGAGGGGAACTCTGATTATGGTTGCATTATGGTAGAGAGAGCTGGAAGAAATTTCAGGATAACTGTCTCCTGGGATGTAATGTCATGTAATCTGGTAGATTTCTGTTAACGTTTTGCAGGGAGTCTCTGTCTACATTATCACAGTAGAAGAGATGGAAGAAATTTATAGTTTTAAGCTGTTCATGTATTATGTAAGATGAGTTTATACATAGTGGCTCTTTTTCAGAATGTTTATCTAAAGTTTGCTGATTGTATTATATATATTGTGAGGTGTAATAAGAAATTAAGTTTTTGTTCTGCTGCAGCCACGTGTGTACCACTTCCAAAGAGCTCTAGCAACAAAAACAAGCAACAAACTCCAGCACAACAACTTGTTGCTGCTGCATCTAGAGAACTCAAGTTCCTGTGCCCCTGTTGCTTGAGGTCTCGTCGGCCTCGTCTTGAAACAATTCTATCTCTCCTTGTATCTCTTCAAAAACTTCCAGTACGTGTCCCTGAAGGGGAGGCTCTTCAATGTCTCACAGAACGGGCAATGAACTGGCAGGTATGTTTGTTTTTCAGACAGTAGTAATAAATTAAGTATGGGCATGTCTGTAATTTAGCTGGCAGAGAAAGGTAGGTATGCGTGCATTTTTGTTCTTGGTTGGAATGTAAGGAGAAACCTCTACATATCTTACCAGTGTTCAGATTTGTTCTAACATTACACTTCAAATCATTATGATTTATAATTTACTTGATTTGTCTCAAAACTAGGTGTTGCATTCATGCATGTCTGCGTGTGTTTTATCACATTGTTCATTTGGATTTAGAGGTGGTTTCATAGACTGAGGGTGTTGAGGAGAATATTTGGACTGAAGAGAAATGAAGTGACAGGAGGCTGGAGGAAATTGCATAATGAGGAGCTTCATAGCTTGTACTCTTCTCCAAGTATAATTAGAATGATCACGTCAAGAAGGATGTGGTGGGCAGGGAATGTAGCATGAAGGAGGGAGAAGAGGATTGCATATAGGATATTGGTGGTGAAGCCAGAAGGAAGGAGACCACCGGGAAGGCCAAGGCGTAGGTGGGTGAACAATATAAAAATGGATCTTAGAGAGATAGGATGGGGATCGTATGGTATGGATTGGATTAATCTGGCTGAGGATATGGACCAGTGGAGGGCTCTTGTGAACATGATACTGAACCTTTGGTTTCCAAAAAATGCTGGAAAATTCTTGAGTGGGTGCAGATTTTGCTTCTCCTCCGGAAGGGCTCAGCTCCATAAGTAAATAAGTAAGTAAGTAAGTAAGTAAATAAATAGACTGTCAGTATTAGTGTCCTTTTGTAATGCCAATGGACAGGAAGACATTGGAAGATTCAGAAGTAGAGACAAGACCAATTTTAAAAAGTTCTGAACATTGGATGGGGCTTGTGGCACCCAGTCCTTGGGCTGAAAGATGATGATGATTTTGTCATCTTGGCTACTTATTCCCACCCCCCAAAAGTGTACTTTATTTGCTATTATTATTTAGAGACACTCCATTACTGATGGTTAATCTATTGTGGTTTGATATAAAATGTTGCCTTTTTCCTCTGAAGAAATTGTAGATGTTCTGAAATAAAGTGCAAAGTTGAATGAGTAGTTAGATTTGATTTTTTGTTTATTTTCAGGATCGTGCTCGTCAAGCCCTTGCCACAGAAGAACTTGCGTCTGCTCTTGCAAAGCTGTCTGTCCTGTCACAAAAACTGGTTGAGGCTGTTGCACGTGAGAAGACTGAAAAAATAATTAGTAGTGAATTAAAGAAAGCTGCCAGCAATCCTGAGCTACATCGTCGTGTGCAAGCCATCTCATCCCTCAGGGGTGTACAGAGCGAAGATTCTCTGGGATCACAGCCAAGTCCACCACAACTAGTGAGCAGCCTATGTATACTCTTTCAGTTAGGAAGATGCAATTAATTAAATTTGGTTCCTTGTAAACTATGTGTAATGCCTAGTGCTGAATCAGACGCATCTTGGGACCATTATAGCAGTTTAAAAATTAATTTAAGGGACTGCTGTATATCTTCAGTAATTTTTCAGTCAGGTATATATTGGGGTTATTCAGATGGAACTGATTCATGGCATTTCTAGCATATGCAGTGAGTCACAGTTGACATGTGGTTGTGTGCATGACACACCAACATCCCAAGGAGTTCTGTATGGGGGATCTGTCTGCTGGTGCATCAGTAGGATGTGTGCCTCAGTACCCATGAGAATTGCCGTTATTAGACCATTCTTCTTTGCCCAGCGCAATCCAAGAATAGTTCATTTGAGCAATTTTCATGTGTCTGAAACTTTCATAGGCTTGAAACTAAAGCAGGATTTGTGTTTTTTTTATGCCCAAAGTCACATGTTATTTTTAAGAACTGTGCAAAGGCTTTGACTGCATTTTACCAGATATGTTAGGAGTTTGTGTTCTTTAAAGTAATATTCAGCCCCAGATTCTGTTCAGGTTGCCTGACCTACTTAAACTAGGAAGTAATTTGGAGACAACTCCTTTCGGACATGAGGTAGAAATTTTTGATGATTAGTCAGTTGCAGGTGGTTTCTGCCATTAAAAGACAGCACAGAGAAATGCAAATGAATGTCATGTCGAAACCCTCTCCCATCCACAGGCGCACTAGCTGTGCAATGTGTACTTGCCCTGTCCAGTTCCAGCCCCATGGCACTTCATAAGCCATGCTTATTTCAAGGTTACGCTTATGTAGCCAGGGCTGCGGGACAAGTGTGAGTATTCAAATGCCCATTTAGAACCCTAGGAATTTCTTCTATGTCATGTATCTTGTCCATAGGACAAATATTGCTTTTGCAATTGGTGTTCATGCTCACCAGACAAAGAGACTGAATATTTATTAGATAATTCTGACCATGATGTTCTAAGTGAAAATGAACATAGTTATGAAGAAGAAAATGACAGTAATGGCAAGGAAGAGGAAGACAACAATACAAAGAAGGGCTGTGTGCAAATAGACAACAGAGGTCGAGGTGAATTACCTCAATACACACAGACTTCCCTCTTTAAACATTGCAGAACAGTGCTTCAGAGGCTCATACTGCACAACTGAGTAGTGAGATAGATAGACTGTTTCTTCTTACATTTCACATATGAACTACTTGATGAAATTTGAAATGAAACAAGTAGATATCCCACAGGGAGAATGGAAAGTAGATCACCTCTTCCAGTACACACTGCCATTCTTGGCAGGATATCACCGTGGAAGAGTTGGAAACTTTCTTTGGAGTGCTTATGAATATAGCTCTTAAATGATAAAGTAAAGATGAAAATAATTGATTCTCATAGTCTGTTGGTGGAGATTGTTTTCGTTTATGTACAGCCCACTTCTATAAGAGCAGTGAAAGAAGTACAGAATTGTTGAAAAAAATTCACTAACAGGAACTATAAGAAAAGCAGAAAAGTTCAGGAAGATGAAAATGAAGAAGGGTGAAGTTCAGGCACTTGGCACGGGAACACAAAAGGGTTGTCCTGATTTTGGGCACTTAACACAATGTGGGCACACAAAGAGAAGAAGGGGTAGTGAGAAAAAGGGAGAGTAAAGAAGGGGTAAAGCCGATGGCTGTGCGTGTGACTGCTGACAGAGTAGACCACATCACAAGTTATGGTTGCAAAAGCAAATCGTATGCATGGAGGAGAAAGTTATTCTTCTGGCTGTTGGAGGTATCAGTTGTAAATTCTTTATTTTGATGAACTGAACAGAAAGAAAATTTGAAGCCACTGATTCACCTCACATTCCAGTTAGCTGTTTGGTGATGTGAGGAACTCAGGTGTCAGAAACTGAGGGTGACCTTCTTGTGGTGATAATTGAAGAACGCCTGAGTGAGCAGCAACATTTCATATATCACTGTAAGAAGAAAGTATGTGTATGAAGAAAGCAGTCTTCTGGGATTTGGCACCGTGTATATGTGGTGTTAACCGACGTTTCGGAGGAACGTATCGCCTCCATCTTCTACCCTGAAGATGGAGGCGATACGTTCCTCCGAAACGTCGGTTAACACCACATATACCCGGTGCCAAATCCCAGAAGACTGCTTTCTTCATAGTCACCGCCGTGAAAGCCTCAAATCTAACAAAGTGTGTGTAGTGTGCAGCAAGAGGAGAGTGCAAGGGACTGCAACAACGATTCCTGTTTAGTGCTGCATCAGCAAGCCTGGTCATCATGCTTCAAGAAATATCACACACTGAAATGTATACTGGAAAAACTTGCAGAAGACTATCAAAAAACGTTCAAAATTTATTACCATGTTACACATTAGTAAATAACTTGAGTTAATATGAGTGAAACATGTGAAAATGTGAAATTGTTTTTTCTGTGCTTTTTGCCTTAATATTGTCCCATGTGCAGTAAGTAGACACTGGGTTTGGATTGGTTATTGGGTTTAGTGGCCACTTATAAATCGTAACTGCAAAGAATTATAGCTCTGTTGCAAATTCAGGCACCACTTCTCACTATAGCATGCACTGAGTCTTCTCAGATTGCTATGTCTTTACCAGTCCATTGCCTTTTGACAGATCCCAACAGTGTCCTCTTCTTATCACATCACTACCAGTTGGTGACTATCTCGCACCTAACCCATGGCTCCAAATATCCTCACCCTATTGACTGACTGAAAGCTCCAGTTATATGTCCTTGTATAGCCTTGGGACAGACCCAATAGAATACATTCTTTCCAGCAGATCTGTATTGTGGCATCACATATTTGTTGCCATTGAAACTTGTGTACCAGCTTTTCCCTAACAGCAGCAGCCGTCTGTTCTGGCTTAACTGCCGTATCACATTGCCGCTGCTCGTCTGAGGTAGCCGGTAGGCATGTTAGCATTTATTCTTCCAGGCTGTGAGGACAGAACTTCCAAAAGTGGCTCTTGCTGCTATAGCACTGATGTATAAGTTTGGTATTCGGTCGTACAATTTGGGAGGTTGCTGTCCCCACAGTGATGCCCTGCTCACCCTTTTCCACAGTCTGGTAGAAGACCCAGATGTTAGCTTTATGACTTCCAGCGTAGAGTCGGCCTGAGGGCCCCATTGAATGTCCTCTTGTTGCCTCCCAGGAGCAGCTGCTATTTTATGCTTCAGTCTCTTATGCCACTGTGGCATTCAGTCGAGCCCATCATCTCTTCTCCTATGTCGGTCCTTTAGGGGCTCCATATGGAGCGTTGGAAGTTTGATATTGTGGGGCGGTAAGCATGTACGTGGCTTCAATGCACAGTGCTCATTTAGAAGGCTCCATTATGGCCTCAGACTTTCCTTGATTGGCCTTCAGCACTGTGGTATTCTTTTCTTCCAGGCCAGTCTTAAGGCTTTTATTCATTCCTGACCAGCCTTTATTGTGGTCTCTGCCTTTCCTAGACAGGCCTCTATTGCTGCTAGACAGGCCATCTTCTTGGCCTCTTTTTCATCTTGACTGTCTTTCATTATGGCCATCAACTCCTCATGGTTAGTTTTAATTTTGGCCACCATCTATTCATGGCTGGTTTTTACCATGTCCTCTGTCTTCTTTTGATTGGCTTTCATTTTGGCCAGCAGGCTTTCCATCATGTGTCCCATTTTCATAGTATTAAGATATAACTATCTGATAGTCTTCAATCCAATAATTCACACCCGTTGTCACATGTTTAGTGATGAGACATGGGGTTTGGATTGGTAATTGGATTTACTGACCACTTATAAATAGTAACTACAAAGAAATGCAGTGGTATCACTAATTCACACTCCTTTCTTCTAGCTAGAGCACACACTATTTCTTCTCAGTTTATCTCCACTAACTGTTGCTAGGTTGTGGATCCCAACAGTTTCTGCTGCTTCCATGTACAATGGCTTGTGCCCTTGCTGGCTGACAGTTGCCAACTGCTAACCCACGATGGCACCTCCCTTTCCTAACTGAATAAGTTATCTAATTCATGCTTGCTATGTAGCCTCAAAGCAGACCCAATGGAAATCTCCATTTCCAACAGTTTTGAGTTGTGGGGTCATGTGTTTATTGGCCATTCCCTAACAGTGGCCATCTCTTCTGGTTCCACTATTCCAGTCTATCAACTGCCATGTCAAAATTTTATATGGACCTGGACTTACAGTATTGTATCATGATACATGGGCCAGGAAGGGCTCAGGAAAATTTTAATTTAAAATCCATGCATGAGGTTCTGCATGCCCTAAACTGCACTACCACTGAGGTTGGCTCCAAGATTTTCCTTTTATATTTAATACATTTACATGCGCACACAAAATGATAAAAATGTAATAATTTTTATTTAGTCAGAAATTCAGTCATGGCACTCTGCTTAAAGTGCACAATGCACGGTACAGGCTTCCATTTTACATACCATAGGAACACAACCTCTTATTACAGCAACTTGCTGCCAACTGAGATGAAAGAACAGATGCTGTAGAACATGTCACAGCTTGAAGAAAGCAGTCTTCTTGGATGTGGCGCCATGGAGATATTGTGTTAACCGATGTTTCAGAGGAATGTATCACCTCCATCTTCAGGTTAGAAGTAAAAAGAAGAAAATCTGCAAGCGAAGAACCAGCGTGAGCAGGTGCAGATAGACTAATGTCAAGAATAAAGGGAGGGGGAGGCCATTGAGACTGAACTCCATCCTGACAATATGAACAGAGGGGAGGGGGTTGTCTCAGCAAGTCATGGAAGCCTCTCATCTGTTCCCTCAAGAAACCCCCGGGACATGACGCCGGATCCACAGGGCCATGCAAGTCCAGGCCCGACTTGCATAGCAACCCCCAAGCTTAAGGGTTAATGCCCCCCCATTAACCTTACCTTTCTCCCCCAACACAATATTTTATACATGCTCTAGCCTGCTACCTGCTGGCCCGCCTCCCCAGACCCTTCCCTTCTCCTCCCTACTGATTTCCCATGTAGCCCCTCTCCCTTCCCTTCCTGCTCTTATACAGCTGGGTTTATTCTCAACATTAGTCTATCTGCACCTGCTCACGCTGGCTCTTTGCTTGCAGATTTTCTTCTTTTTTTCTTCTACCCTGAAAATGGAGGTGATACGTTCCTCTGAAACTTCAGTTAACACAATATCTACACGGTGGCACATCCCAGAAGACTGCTTTCTTCATAGTCATTGCCATGAAAACCTCAAATCTTACATGTCACAGCTTGTAGCACATCAGTGCTACCATCTTTTGGCAAGTTACAAAGCTGGAGGCATTAGTTTTCATTCAACCTACATAATGCCAAATTAAAGCAGAAATTAGGTTACATTCTTGTTATTAATATAGAGGGGCCCAAAAAATGTATGCACCCTTCAACGTACAAAATAATTTATTGTTAGTCCAAATTTGACACACACAGAAGAGGATAGGTGCAACACTTGCTGAACTGGAACAAGTGTTCAGAGTGCCCACCGTTAGCTTATAGACACTTCTGAATTCTGCAGACTAGTTCACAAGCAGTTGTGGCCAAGGTGTCCACTGGGATAGCAGGGCATTACATTTCAGTTTCTTCCAATGTTGGTGGTTTTCTCTGGTATACCACATCCTTCAGGGACCACCCACAAGTAAAAGTTGAGGTGAGCATTGGGGATACTCAGCACTACAACATCTTATCCATTAACCTGGTAGTGTATCATTGACATAGCTTCTGACATCTCAGTGGAATGGTGTTGGTGAGCCATCTTGTTGAAAGTAACATGGCCCATTCCCATAGAACTGCTGAATGGTAGGTAAAATGGGCTGCACCATAACTCAAGCGGTTAGTCACTGGCTTCCCACTGCAGCTGCCTGGGTTTCATCCTGGGTCTGGTCAAGTGGGCTTTGTGGTGGACAAAGTGGCGCTGGGACAGGTTTTCTCTGAGTACTTTGGTTTCCTCTGCCAATCTTCATTCCAGCTCCACAATCACCCTCACCTATCATCTAGAGCTGGTACAATAGGCCAGAAGTTGCCGCAGTGCAAGGGACTTAGTCCCACCCCACTAACAATAAAAAAAAAAAAGGTAAAATGGTTGTCCAAAGTATATTGAGGTACATAGCATCAGTAACTCTTTGTTCAAAAAAAGGACAGCTGACAGTCAACATGAGACATTGAATCCTGGTGAATTAACCGCCTTGTCCACATAAATGTGTAGTTTAAATAAGGCTCTCTTTCATATCTGTTATCCGAAAGAGTAATTATGATTTTCTAACATGCCTTACTATGTGCTGTGTGGAAAGATTTTGTGACCTGCAGTGCTGCATTTGAGCATAGTACCATGTGCAATATATGTAGAGTGCAGGGTGTAGCTTCTGTTCCTGCAGGATTCACTAGAACCCTGCAGGAGGGTGAAAGCTCATGTAATTTGAACCTATCCTGGACTGCAAGGAACCAGGATAGCACAGTCAATATAGTGATGGGCTATGTGCTGAATGGATAGAGTTTGATTCCCAGCAGGGGCAAGACATTTTCTCTGCAGCATCCAGACCAGCTTTGGGGCCCACCCAGTCTCATATACATTGGGTTCTGGGGACCCTTTCCCTGGGGATAAAGCGACCTGAGCATGACGCTAACCAATCACCTCTGTCTGGTGCTGAGCTCAAGAATAGTGGAGATTTATCTTCATGGCATTAATTAAACACAGGCAACTATACCTTTACTGTATAGTGTGACTACTACAGAAGGGTCTAATTACTGGTATAATCAAAACTCACATTTTATACTTGGAAACCAGGGACGTGTGTGAACAGGGTCTGTGTTCATATGTCAATGAATGCATGTTTGATTTTATTATCTCAAGGGAGAATCCAGTGGCATGGAGGCGGAAGCTGCCGGTAACTGTTTGCATGACTCACTGGATCAAGCTAATGATCAGTCTCGTACATCATTTCCCCAAGATGATGATGAAGATGATGATGATGACGATGATAATGATTCGGTGTTAACATCGGCTAATTTGAGAACAGATGAAGATGAAGATTCACACTATGAAGAATGCTGCAATTCTTACAGCAACTCAGAACATGCTTATTCCTCAGGTACATATTGTTAGCTGAAAGTCATGAAAATTACATCTGATAATTTCTGATCTCAGTTTTTATCAAATATGTGGGTAGGCTGAAAAGTAATGCACACATGCTTGTAGAGCGTGAACAAAAACAAATAGCAAGATTGGGCAAAAAGTACATTAAAGTACAATTCTTAAGTTTCAAAAGCATATATTTATTTTTCAACGTAGTCACCGTTAAGGCTAACACATTTCTCCCAACGTGTAACAAGTTTTTTCATTCCATCACTGAAAAATTCTTCATACTTTTCTTGAATCCAGGACTTGACAGCTGCCTTCACCTCATTGTCCGAGGTGTAATGATTACCCTTGAGGTCTCTCTTGAGTAGAGGAAAAAAATAAAAATCGCAAGGCGCAAGATCGGGGGAATAAGGAGGGTGTGGAATCGGTTCAAACCTCAGGTTTCACAGAGCCTCTTCAGTTGCATGCAAGGTGTGTGGACGAGCGTTGTCATGTTGCAAGATTATTGGCGCCCGGCTGCCTCTAACACGACAAACTCGATGCCGGATGTGTTTTAGAGTCTGTATGTACTGAGAAGAATTTACCGTTGCCCCTCGTTCCAGAAAATCGGTCACATAAACTCGGTGAGCATCCCAAAACACAGTCAAAAGAAGTTTTTTGGCGGATGGTTGTGTTTTGAACTTTTTCGCCTGAGGAGAAGACGGATGTTGATATTCAGCGCTCTGTCTTTTCTCTTCCGGGTCATAACGATGGACCCATGACTCGTTCCCCCATCACAATATTCAAAAGAAAGTTGTCTCCTTCGTCACGGTAGCGCTGCAAAAGTTGCTCGCAACATTCCAATGGACACTGTTTGTTCTCGTCTGTGAGACGGCATGGTACCCATCGTGCACAGATTTTATGGTATCCCAGTTGTTCAATAATGAAGCCGACACGTTCCTTGGATATTGAAATATGGTTTGCGGTATGCTTTTGAGCGATTTGCCGGTCATTTTGAATCAAATCGTCGACGACTTTGCGATGATTATCGTCTGTGGCAGTGATCGGACGTCCGCTGCGTGTTTCATCAACAATTATGGCTTTTCCAGGCTCGCAACCACAAAATTTTATTACCCATCGATTTACAGTAGACCTATCAACAGCATCGTCACCATAAACAGCCTTTAAACAATGATGAATCTCAGTAGAAGTCACTTTTTCAGCAGTTAAAAATTCGATAACAGCACACTGTTTAACTTGCGTTGACATAGCACTAGAACACGTCTCCATACTTACTTCTCGAAATACACTGGATGAACGCAACAACCTCAAACCTGCGCATGCGTATTGAGGAGGAATGTTACTTCTACATGCCACCTGGCGCGCTTCTGAAGGTCATTTCATTTGCGCTCTACAAGCATGTGTGCATTATTTTTCAGCCCACCTACGTATATTTGATTCAGATGTAATTCTTAATGAACACCCATGAAGATTTCTGATCTGCATGTCATATGCTTTACACAGATATCTTGGTTCTACAGGAGCCAGGATGATTGTGTTGATATAGTGACCGGGCTGCTGGCTGAATGACCAAGGAGTTGGGGTTCAATTCCCAGTAGGGTCAAGGATTTTTCTCTTCTGCAAAATGTCCAGACCAGCTTTCTTTTGGATTCTTCCCAACCTCCTGTACAATGTGTACTGTGGTCTCTTTCCTCAGGGGTGAAGTGGTATGGGCATGAAACTGGCCACTTACCACAATCTAATGGTGAGGTCAAGATTAGTGGAGCTATACCTCCACTTCCCTACACACCTATGTAGCCTGGGCCTTAATTAATTAAGTCCAGAGATAACCTTTGGTTAGACATATGAAAAAAAATCAGTCAAAACTTGTTGTTATTCTATATGTATTTTTTATGTAATCTGTTGGATAAAATTTTAATGGAAAAGACCAAATCTGGGAAGAATTTTTAATATTTCCAGCTTCCAAACTAGGGTTAGGAGGATGCAAGAAACATGTTCGCAAGACTCCGTTAGTGCCTCGACAGCTGGAACAACCTGTACTGGCTCTTAGCGAGATGGCTCGAGCTCAGCTTGAGGAGCTGATGATGGAAGGTGACCTTCTGGAAGTCTCTCTTGATGAAACTCAACATATATGGAGAATTCTTCAGGCCACAAAACCTCGTCAAGAAGAGAAGTTTCCAGATTTTGAAGTATGTATGAAGTTACATGCTGATGCATTGATTATGAAGATCACATAAATAGAAAACAGACATTTGTATCCAGTGTTACAAATTTGGAACCAAAATTTGTTTCACACACTTTTCTTTTGTATCTGACGTGGTGCTAGAGATGATGTCTCCATTCTCGCCTGTGACCATATCTAACTTCAAAATTGGAACCTCGAGACACCAAAAGACATTGAATGAGAGCACTAATTCAGTTAAACTTGATTTCAGTTTAAAGTATTTTTCATAATATTCTTTGAAACCAAAATATATGATTGTGGAAATTGCCATTTAAACTACTGTAAGATGACCTTGGATATAAAGAGATCCTCTTTCCCATTTTGGAAATATGTGGAATGTGTAATTGTGGTTTCTGTTCATTATCTAAATTGGCACTTTGTTGTCATTTTTATTCTTAGGGTCAAGGTACCAGAGGGTAGCATTGTTGCTTCTTTTTGTGTTGTGCAGGTTATATTTTCAATTATGCTTGTATAGAACTTTCCTTCTTTTTGTTAAATTATTCACACCATTGTACCAAAGTAATTTGATTGTAATATGGTATAGTCTTTTTTGTTATAAGGAAAAGAAATATGAAGGGAATGGAGAACAAGAAATGCAGTGTTTTATAAAATTGAACATATTGTTGATTCAACATTTTATTGACTTTTTTAAGGGATGCATGGTGTCTTGAAAAATAAATGTGATGGCTTAGTTTGCATTCTGTGCTATTTTCTAAACTAATTCTTATATGGGATCACTGATGATATGAATTGCATTTTATTGAAAGGTCAGGTATCAGCACAGGCACTAAAAATTATTCTGTAAGGTGCCAACAGTGACCCAAGAAAATTGCTGGTAGTAACTAATCAGGTAACTTGAGCCAAATGTGGAAGAAGGTTAGTAGTGATTGACTAGATTATCTTGCATCTCAAAGATGGAACATACACAAGTGGGTGCATTTGAAGAGGATATCTACCTATTATTATCTAGTGGTAACATCTGGTGAGTAATTTTTTTTTACCCATAGTAAATATCTTTTTGATTTGGATTTTCAACACTTATTTCACTGAGGTATAAATTAACACTCAGGATTACTGGGGTTTTGGGCTTTGTCTACTATCTGGTATTCTAAAGAACACAGTGCTTCAGAAAGTAGATTTGTTTCCTTCCTCACGTGAGGGGGTGGGAGACACTCTTTTTGGGTCAGTTACGGAGAGCTAACCTCAATCACTAGATTTATTTCTGACACCCCTACTTCTGAGGACAAATTGAGGCAGTTTCTGAAACATTCTGCTCTTTAGTGTTCTTTAGAATACCAGACGATGGACAGAGTCCAAAAACTGATCTTCAGTGTTATACACCATTGTCAGAACTTATTTTATGTTTCAGACAATTGGAAGTTGATGTTCCTTAACACAAGTGTGAGGTACAGCAGGGTGTTTGATAGGTTTTGTATAGGATAACTTCATTGTTGCAGGAGCTGGAGCATGAATTGTTGCAGAACAAGCTGGAGAAACAGAAACTGAAGGACAAGCGAAAAGCTAAGAAACGTACTCCAGAAGAACTGGAATTTGTGGGTGGAAGTAAGAAACTTAAGGTTAAAATGGGAAAGGAATTTGAGGAAAGGAATAAAAAATTGAAAGAGAAAAAGAAATTCAAAGAACAGAAGGAATCTATAAAGAAAGTCCGTAAGGTACAGTATTTCTTACATTGCAATATGCACACTGCAAACCAATACATTGATTTTATCACAGTATGTAATTATTTATGTATTGATATAACAAGGAGTTGTGGTAGCTCAGTTAGTATAATGGCATGCTACTGGCTGGATGGCCCAGGTTCAGTTCCCAGCAATGCAAGATTTTTCTTCTCCACAGCATCCAGACTGACTCTGGGGTCCACCCAGCCTCCTATCCAATGGGTATCATTGACTCTTTCCCTTTGGGGGAGGGTGAGTGATAATGCAGCAGGGGCATGTAGCTTACCACTCACTCCATACGGTGCCAAGGTCAAGAAAAGTGGAGTTTATCCTCCATTCCTGCATATGTCTTCATGGCATAATGCTTAACTAATTAAGCACAAGGAGAACTTAACCTTTTTAAGACCATGGTCTTCTGGGATGTAACTATATATTGTATAGTAAATAGGTGTCAACATTCTAGAAACCTGTTGCTTTCAACTTCAGGATTGTTAATGTCATTTTGAAACGGTTCTTTCCAGATAAAACGAAGAGTTGAAACATTAGACAGGAAAAAATCTTGTCCTCGTGTGAAGAAAACCAAACAGGAATGTTCAGATGATGATGAGGATTGTGCTGCTCCTACTTGTCTCCGACCAACAGGTAACAGAATTGATGTTCTGTATAATGGGACCTCAACACACAGTATACGTTGCATGTTCAAAAAGTATCGAACCTTGGTCGGCAGAAATACATTTATTGATTTGGAGGTACAAAACCCTAATCCCCTTCAAAGTAGTCTCCTTGTTAATGCACACACTTCTCCCAGCACTTCCGCCATTGTTGGAAACACTTCTGGAACATGTCTTTTGGAATGGTGATCAGCTGGGCCGTCACATTCCACATGATTTCTTCTCTTGACTTAAATCGGGTGCCTTTCAGCAGCATTTTCAGCTTGGGAAATAGCCAAAAGTCACACGGAGCCATGTTGTGGGAGTAGGGAGCCTGACGAACCACAGGGATGTTGTGTTTGGCGACGAAAGTCTGAATCAGATGCGCAGTTTCAGTACGAATTTTGCGGACACTCTCCTCGTGTCAAAATCCTCCATCAGAATTGAATGTACCAATCCAGTGCTTACCCCTTCTTGTTCGCAAGTTCTCGGACTGTGATACTACGGTCCTCCATGACCAAAGTCTGCACTTGCTCAGTGACATTCTCATTTCGGCTTATTGAGGGTCTGCCTGAACACGGTTCGCTGTCCACTGATGTGTGGCCATCTTTGAAGCCGTTGTATCGCTCCTTTATCCATGAGTTGCTCATGGCATCGTCCCTGAAAGCCTGTTGAATCTTGCGAATGGTTTCCACTTGGGTATCGCCAAGCTTTTGGCAAAATTTGATGCAATATCGCTGCTCATGTTGTTCCGTCATTTTACACCTTATTGGAATCCGACAAGTGCTCACTACACGTCCTCACTCATAGGCCGACTGCCAGCGACTGACGCTTTCTGCGGGCGGGAAAAAATTCATGACTGCGCATGAATGTCCCCTCCACATCTCCACCGAAGGGAGCCTTCTGCGCGTCATTGGTTTACGCAGGAAAAAAGAAGGCTTGATACTTTTTGAACACACCACGTATATTTTATTAAGAGTTCAGTACTAGAAGTACTATACTATAGCATCATATTGTGTATAAGTTAATGTTTATTATTACTCAGCTGACACAATCCTGGTATAGACACACCACGCATTTGTATGTACTACAAATTTTGGCCTATTGTGGCCATCATCAGATACATAGAGCCTTCACAATCACCCTTCTCTCTGCTGTACCTCCATATACTGGCCAGTGTTTGAACATTGCATGCTGACTGATGGATGTCCCACAGTAGGCATCAGTAGAGACATTAAGTGTAAATATAATCTGTATTTTATGTATTTATTTAGATGCACGTTGTTAGCATTTATGTTTGTTATTGTGATGTGGCATGTTGGAATTGTAAAGATGTATTGTTGTTTGTAAAGCTCGTGACATGTTTCATATTCACTGCAGATTGCACTTATGAATATCCTGAAATGCAGGTGTATGTATATGTATGTATTGGGAGTGTGTTGTACAGGTACGTATGTTGTTTCAATCACCCTTCCTTTTGTAAGATTTGAGGCTTTCACGGCGGTGACTATGAAGAAAGCAGTCTTCTGGGATTTGGCACCATGTATATGTGGTGTTAACCGACGTTTCGGAGGAACGTATCGCCTCCATCTTCAGGGTAGAAGAAAAAGTATAAGAAATCTGCAAGCGACAAGACCGTGAGAACGGTCTGCTTTTACCGTTCTCACGGTCTTGTCACTTGCAGATTTCTTATACTTTTTCTTCTACCCTGAAGATGGAGGCGATACGTTCCTCCGAAACGTCGGTTAACACCACATATACACGGTGCCAAATCCCAGAAGACTGCTTTCTTCACCCTTCCTTTTATCTGCTGTACCTCCATACACTGGCCAGTGTTTGAACATTATGAGTGTGTTGTAGAGTACATATGTTGCTTATGCAATGCCCTAATATTACGAAATATATTAAATATTCAGTATTAGAATTTAAATTTTTAAAAATATTAAAATATTCTAATTCAAATTAAAATTACATTAGGTGTTAAAAGTTATATATATATTTCTTTTTCTTTTTGTTGTCGTGTCCCTTTTGCTTTACGTTGCCATGGTGGTGTTTTACCAGTTTGTGTTCTTGTTATAGAATCGTATTCTTTGTATGATCTGGAATATGAACATGTTGTTAATGCACGGATTATAGGTCTGTATGTTGGGTAGAGGTATATGTCAGTTTTCCTTACCTTATGTTGATATTCTGGTTAACCTACAGGTATGTGATGTGTTGTTTTCATGTTCTTTTCTTCTCATGGCCTGCCCTGGAATACTAATTTTATTAGCATAAGGGTGTATTTGGATCATTTAATCCTATTGCTAAGATAATTCAACTGAAGTCGAACAACATCCATTGCCATATACTGACATTCAGCTTTAGTCCACATTAAGAAATAATCTCAATTTGCTGCATCATTCAACTTCATTTACTTTTCCTTTCCTTCATATTACCTCCTTCCTTTTTTATGTCATTTATACCACTTAATGTTTATTTCTTTGTCACCTCCATTAGCTGTTCTCCCATAATGCACTATATCATTCACTTAGCAAGGTTTCAGGTGTTTGTGGTTAACACAATTGATGTATACCATTATGTCACCATTATAATGTTTACTAGATTCTATTTTTAACATCTGGTTTTCATATGCCAGTGGGAAATTCAAACATACCAGGTTAATAATAGTTTTCTCACTAGATGGCAATGATATTTGTTGCTGATGTAAATGCACTGTGTGTGTGTGTGTGTGTAGTATTATGGAATTATATTAATAGACTAGTAGGGCTGCCAACCTTGCTGCCATCTGTGAGCCGATTGTCTAGAAAATGTGGGAACCTCACCATCCCACAATGCTATGGGCCTCCACTGCCTGATGCAGGGATACCCTTACTTAGTTATTTAGAGAGGGTGGGTTTCCCCATGCACCACGACCAGTTTGATCTATTGTATTTCCCTCTATGATATTCTCCCAGTCTTTATACCCTACCAATAAATGGTGCGTACCATCAGTCCTGCCAAGCAAGCGAGTTCGAACACTTTCTTAGCGGTGTCTATAATGCTTCCCCCATCTATCAGAGGCCTTAGAGACTATTGTTGGGCGGGAAACGTCCTGGAATTTGGCTAAGTGATCCCCTTTGGGGATATGAGGTTCTTTTACGTGCTGTAAAATTACGACATGGGACACACAGCTTAAAGTCCCTCCTGGAGGACTTGTTCCCTGAATTTTTCCACCCTTAAAAATTCGACAACCTCCGCCGGGTATTTGAACCCGCGTACCACGAGTCATGAGGTGGGAATGTTACCTCTAGACTATGGAGGCCGCTATACCCTTACTTACTTTACTTATAAGCTTATTGTTTGTTTTTTTTTTTTTTTGCGGGGGATTACTGGGTTTTTGGACTTTGTCCATCATCCAGTATTCTAAAGAACACAATGTTTCAGAAGCTGAATCTGTTTCCTTCCTCAGGTGAGGGGATGGGAGACACCTACTTTTTAGGGTCCATTAGAAAGAGTTGACCTCAGTCAGCAGATGGTCCAGTTAACATTTCTGTATGTTTGTGGTTCATGCCTTGAAGGTTGCTTCTGTGGGTTTTACATGAATTCATTTTTCAGGACACGAAGTAGATTGGGTACAGTGTGATGGAGGCTGTGACAAGTGGTTTCATTTGCACTGTGTTGGTCTTGATAAAGATGACATTAATGAAGATGAGGATTATATATGTAAGAATTGCATGCCATTGCAAGAACATGAGCCGGAACATGAACGGGAACATGACCAGGATGACAGCTGCCGTGTTGTTGAAGAAGAAGTAGATATATCTCGTGTGAGTATACAACTGACATTGTCTCATTGTATATATTAGAGTTTGCTCATTGACGTAGTGATCATCATGAGGTCTGAATCAGAAAACTTACTCAAGATGTGAGAATACCATATTATACCAGTTGTGCATATTTGTGATGCAGGATATCATGAACACTCAGGCACTTCAGAATCAAATAGATCCTTTCCTTCCAATACACATGAAGTCTTAACATTTGACTTTGAACCCTTTATTATTCCTGAATCATGACTGGTGGATTGATGCAGATGTTTTCATGAAAGGAAATCTGGCAAGATGCTGCAAATTTTCCTGTCATATGGAAAACAGGTATCTCTAACATTGACATGCTTTTTGAAACTGTCTTTCACTTGTAATGTATTTTCCAGTATGTAATTATGATGCTTAGGAATTTTTGGAATGTATGATTACACTATTTTCCTTCTCTTACTCTTCCTTTTTCTCAATGTGAGGTTCAAATTAGAGATGAAAGTCTCCATCCATGTCTGTCATCTCAGTGTTTGTTATTTCTTTGCACTTCTCTCTAGCTTCACTTTCGCTTTCCAGTATGTCCTAAGTGTTCTTTTTTATCACAATTACATTACTGTTTTAAACTTTCCAAAAAATGTGTTATTATGTATGTTTAGCTGTCAATGNAATCTACTTAGCAATTAATCTATTCCTCAGCATCAATTCATCAATTCTCAAACAGAAGTGGAACAAGTTTATGCATGAAGAAAGCAGTCTTCTGGGATTTGGCACCGTGTATATGTAGTGTTAACACCACACCACATATACACGGTGCCAAATCCCAGAAGACTGCTTTCTTCATGCATAAACTTGTTCCACTTCTGTTTGAGAATTGATGAATTGATGCTGAGGAATAGATTAATTGCTAAGTAGATTTAAAATATTGTTTAATAATTTCACGAACAGGTGAAGATGGAAATGAACAATGTGGATGAGACTATGGGGCTGGATGCATTGCTGTCTTTAGCTAATGGCTTGCCTAGCCATGATTCATCACTGGAAGATCCTTTGGCAATGAGCGCTGGTGACTGGGTTACATCAGGATGTCATGGAAATGAATATGGAGAGGGTGAGAAGGACCTAGAGGACTCATCAACAGGACCTTCTTTATCTACATTTACTTCTGTCTCTGAAGAGATACAGCCTGCGAAGGGGGGTGCTAGTGATGACAGTAGTTTCTCAAGACAAGACTGACTGTGATGGTCTGATCATCAGAATACTGACATCATAGGAAAGTGACAGTGTTGTTATTTGGTTGGCTGGCTGTGCAGCTAGTTAGAATTCACATGGACTGCCTTTGCGTTCAAGTGGGGGGGAGGAGGAGGAGGAGGAGGAGGAGGGTGTTGGCAAACTAATTGTATAGAGAAGATTTCAAACTAAAATATTGTAAACTTACTTGGAATAGATGTTCACCTTAGCCAACATGATAATATTTTCATTATTTATGATTATATGAAGGAGGACTTAAAGAATTGTAGGCTCCAGACTATTCCATCCACCCAGAATTCAGAAGCTGAACTGTGGATGAAGTGTTTGTGAAAATCAGTTTAAACCTTCATGGAGATATGTGTTAGTATGCCATCTTCCAGTCAGTATAGCTTCCTTCACTTTACTCTTGACTGTCCTGTCTTCCCTAAATGTACCATCTCTCTCTATACTTTAAACCTATATTTTTTCCATCCTTGTCTCTCTTTTGCATCATAAACTCCTTTCATAATCCCCACTGTCTCATAGCATGTCCTTGTGCTTTCTCCCCAGCTTTGTTTTGTTTACTTGTCAAAATCTTAAACACTTTTTTTTTTCAGATCTCTTACTTTCCATCCATAACAGTGAAAGGTTTGCTCCACTGGCATACACTTAGTAGGATAACAATATATGGCAGGAGTTTTAGATAAGGGAAGGATTTCAGATTGGTGTGTAGCTGCATGAGCTGCATGCTGAGCAGTGACATAAGTTGCCTGCTTGAGCAGAACTGCTTGTAAGATGGACAAGGCCAAAACATGTGTTCGACTCATTTCATGATCTCTCCTATATTGATGTGTAAATGGACTTTGTACTGGAAGAAAATGTGCAGACTTATTATTCATACAAACTGCCCTCCTCGCCCCATATCTCAGTATGTAAAGAACTGGTGAGTTAGAATCCCCCACATTGAATACAGGTAGAAGGATTTGGGCACAGAACTAGATTTCTCTTCAGATTCAGGCCTCTCTGAAGTGAACAGCAACATCCCCATCTTAACTGGTGTAATCCTGCTTGCATTTCCTCCAGTAGCTTCATTCTGACATCAGCAAGTTGTTAGAAAGATGAGATAATTTCATGGAAATGTGAACATAAATATTAGTGTGTCTGAATTTCACTGAAGAGTGAGTTACACTTTCTAACAGTGTGGTGTTTTAAATATTTTTATTTTTCGTATAGTATTGTGGAATGAAGACAGCCAGGAGATACGAAATGTGAAAAAGAGACAAATGATGAGTTTTTTGTACAGTTCACATGTTCAGTAATCCAAGTGACCCTTTAAATTGTGACTAAGCAGCATTGTTTAGTTTCATGGACATTTTTTGTTTTGTAGAATGTCTGGGTTGTAGATTTAATTATTAAATTGTGATCTTTTTCTCTGTCTACAAACATTTACCAAACAAACTTATTTTCTTTTGCCTGGAAGCAGAACAGGACAAATGAAACAAGCCCATTTTTGTATGGAAACTTTTCTTAGTTAATTAGACAATCATATATTCAGTGTGTGAAGTATGTTTCTGTTGACTTTGTGTAATCAATACAGGTTCAATAAAAATATCTCCTTTTCCTTCTCATTTTGTGTATCTATGACTGTACATGCAATGTAACCAGCAGTACAAGGGTATTTACATTTGTGTATTGTGATGGTTTAACATCACCATTGTGCATGACATTTCTCTGTATTTCAGGAAATTATTATACACAAGGACTGAATTTGTGTTCTGGAATCTTTAAATTTCATCCTTTACATGATACCTGTTTGCAGAAGAATTATCAGTAAACAGCTTATCATTTCCAAAATGTGTATGTATATATATATATAGGTAAAGCAATCCCTGTAACAGGCCATGGAGGCTCATAGGGTTGTGAGATGTTGAGGGTGTCACATTATCTAGACATTTGGCTCACAGATGGCAGTAAGGTTGTCAGCCTTACATGCCATCTGCCTTTTACCCCCCAGGGAAGATTCCCGGTACTCATTTCTGTTTGAGGCTGAGTCAACCCCAGGGCCATAGTTTGCAGCTGGAAGGATTAGGTCAATTGAAAAAATTCACCTCATTGGGACTCCTCCAGCTTGTAGCATAGTGCCTCAACCAACTATGGTACTGCGTGCCCCTATGTATGTGTATATACGTATATTGTTGCATGTTGCCTTTGTAATGTGACAGGTGAATTCACGTAGGTCTTGGATTTGGTGAATGCATTTATTGGTCAATCTCTTCAACACTTGCAAGTAAAATTTTTCACAATTACTGCTTTTGTTATAGTTGAAGACTGACTACTGACTGCTGACTACTACTGACTGGTCTCTTCAAAGCTGGACTTCCATAACCTGCTCACGGAGAGAATAGGGTGCATCATGTTCAAGGGTTCGGTTTGATCTTCTGGTATTATTCGTTTCCGTTGATATCCTTCCATTTGCAAGGATATGCATTTGTTCTTTCAGTGTTTCCTAGGCAATGCCCTGCTGGTATTTCATTCCCATGGAAGTATACATTCTTATCGCAGTCGTTGCCTATCAATGAATGTGTCTTCTGTTCCTTTTTGGCGGCACGCCACAATATGTACATTGCAAGGGGGGTGTTGACAGTCCCATGATTAAAGTGAGGAAAGGGTGACTTCCAGTTGACTTGTCCATGGTTTCTTCAGCCTGTAACTTTGTGTTGAAACCAACAGTGGAGTCAGTTTCCTGTGCTTCTATCATAAATTTATCAAAACAAGAATTCTAATTTGCATAATACAAGGACTTCTTGAGAAGATGAACGTTGTTAAGCTGTGTAAGATTTGAGGTTTTCACGGTGGTGACTATGAAGTAAGCCGTCTTCTGGCATGTGGTGCTGTTTAGAAATTGTGTTAACTGAGGAGAGGGCACTTGACTTGGACCCCACACAAGCCCCGCTGCTGGTTTCACTACCTGGATGACACCTTCGTCATCTGGCCACATGGCCCTGACAAGCTTAAGGACTTCCTGAACCACCTAAATAGTATCTGCCAGTGCATTCAGTTCACAATGGAGACTGAAATTGAGGGCCACCTCCCTGTCCTGGGTGTAGATATTTACAAGAGACCCAACCGTTCTCTGGGCCATAGGGTGTACCACAAATCCACCCATACAGACCTCTACCTTAACGCTGCGTCCCACCACCACCCGTCCAACAAGCAAGCTGTACTTTCCGCATTGGTGCACAGTGCTAGAGCTCTGTGCGATCAAGACAACCTATATGAGGAGTTGGTACTCCTGGGGGATGTTTTCAGGAAGAACAAATACAACAACTGACAGATCCACAGAGTTCTCAATAATTGGCCTGAAGATAAACTGGACTCACGTCACCTTCCTGCCTTATGTAGGGTTTATATTCAACCATATTAGCAGAGTGCTGTCCCGGCACGACATGAAATCAGTGGGCCTGCTTCCAAAGAAATTATCTAGTTTCCTCTGGCTGGTCAAAGATAGCCTGGGACTAAGGACACCGGGTGTATACAGTATCCCATGCGAGTGAAGCAAGGTCTGTGTTGGGCAGCCAGACCATTTTGTGGACACGAGGTTGAAGGAACATCAGTGGCACATCTGTCTTGAACATCCAGACAAGTCAGCTGTGGCTGAACACAGCATTGATTTGGGACACTGCATTCAGCTTCAGAATACCTCCATCCTTGCTACCAAGACCCGTTATATGGATTGCATCATTAGGGAGGCCATTGAGATTGAACTCCATCCTGACAATATGAACAGAGAGGTGGGGTTTTGTCTCAGCAAGGCATGGAAGCCTCTTATCTGTTCCCTCAAGTAACCTCCGAAATATGCAGACCCTATAGGCCATTCAGGTCCATCGTTGCCCCCAAGCTACAGGGTTAATGCTCTCCATTTAACCTTCCCTTCTCTCCACCCTAACACATACTCTCTACCAGCTCTGGCCCACTACCTGCTGTCCATTCCACCAGACCCTTCCGCTCCCCCTCTCTACTATTTCTCTATGTAGCCACACTCCTTCTCTCCTCTTATACAGCTGTGTTTACTCGACTGGACTCAGTCTGTGGCACCTGCTCTGCTGGTTCGCTCACAGATTTCTTCTTGTCTTCTACCCTGAAGATGGAGGCGATATGTTCCTTCAAAATGTCAGTTAACACAATTACTACATGGCGCCACATCCCAGAAGATGGCTTTCTTCATTGTTAGGCTGGTTAAGAAACTTGTTGCTTCCTTCTTCAGGGAAAACAAAGGTACTTCAGCCTTTACACAGAAGCCTATCATTGGCACCAATCTGAGTCCAATTCAATCTAGTTCACACTGCCATTTTAATATTACATCTCATGTAAGCCAAAGTTGTCCCTTCACTTGAGGTTTTGACACCAAAATTCATACTAAATCCTAAATTTCCTAAATATTTCCTGTATTCTATGGTTCCCAGTAAGAAATTATGTACCTCACTAATCTATAAGGCTGCAGCGAGGTTCAGATGAACAATTTTTACATATACAAGAGTATATCTGTGTAAAATGTTTCTTTTTTCTTTGTCACCAGTATATAAAATCCTTTTCACACGTCACTATAATTTAGTACCAGTTATCAAAGACAGTGAAAATTACCTTCATAATTTCTTTTAAGTATTAAGGATTAGAATTTTATGGTTTTTCAGAAGATGTAATCGGTATACAGAGTGATTCATGAAGTTTTACCCCAGCTTATGGTACATATTCCTGGGGTTATTTCCTGCAAAATTTCCTTATAAACTTGTGGTCGATTTTCAATAGTTACGGAGTAACAATGGATTTTCGAAACACATCATTGTGAATGCAGTGCTATCCCCCCCCCCCGGACTGGGTGACCGTGCGTTCCAGCAGATAAAGCAGACCAGCTGGAATGTTGCACATAGGTAGGCAGAGTGTTCCAGTCGTAAATAGGATGTAGTGTTGGTGACTGTGAAGTTAAGATGCTGTACACATTTTCCGCAGAGGAATACGCCGATATGGTGTTTGTTTTGGATGTATGTGATGGAAATGAGAGAGCCGCTGCTGCCGAATATGACCTGCGTTATCCTAATTGCAGGATTCCGAATCCTAAATCCATTAGCAGTACATTCAGCACATTAAGATAAACTGGATCTCTCCCCAGCGTTCGTATACAATACGAACGAAATCCTCAACATGATTTGTGCGAAGAAGAAAGCATTCTCAATGCTGTAGAGTGCAGTCCGCATGCCAGTACAAGACGTCTAGCTCGGTGGTTCGGTGTTTCTCAGTCCATGGCGTGGAGAACGGGCTGCATCCTTATTATTTACAGCAAGTACAACACCTACAACCAGGAGACCATGCTCTTTGTCTGCAGTTCTGCAACTGGTTAAATGGAAATCGGCAGTTGTACCGCTTGATAATGTTCTGCGATGAGGCACAGTTTACACGGGTCGGGGTCAACAGCAGTCACAACTTACATGTTTGGGCAGACAATTATCCCCGTGCCACGATAGAATCGAATTTTCAACACCGATTCAGTGTCACTTTCTGGTGTGGTGTTCTGTATGATCAGCTAATCGGGCCGTTCATTTTATTGCATTTGGGGCTGGATGAAGGACACTGTGTACCAGGTAAAGGTACAAACACGTGAAGCGTTGCTTGAATTTATTCTGGACACGGCGATGACAACAAGGAAGAAACGTGTGGAACTGTGAAATGCTATGAGCGCGCTTCATATGTGTGCGATGCGTTGTGTTGATGTGCAGGGAGACATTTTTGAAAATCTTACGTAAATCCAGTCATCTTCTAAGACACTACAGTTTAAAGGAAACAGATTGATAGAAAGATGTGATATGCAACCATTGGTATGTTTACAGAATGGGATGCTGAAAATAATGTAATTTTGTAATATAAATTCGATGAAAAATGTTGCACAATGCAAAATTAAGAAATTGAAAAAAAAAACATTGGTTTTAGAATGCTTCTTTCCTGAAACGTTAACAATTTAAAAAGTGTTTGTATTGTATTTCTAATTTGAAGAAGAAAAGATTTTTCGCCAGTTTTCAAATTACTGTATCTCTTTAATTATGAGTTGGATAACATTTTTTGTTCCAAATTACCTCAGGAATGCCCTCCCTAATTGGGAGTAAAACTTCGTGAATCACCCCGTATTACTTTCTTGCAAGTATGTGCCTGTGTTTCTCAAATCTGTGGTAAAAGCATGTATTTCTGCTTCTTTGTTTCAAATGACATGTTACAATAATTTGACATTTCAGCTAAGGATGGTGGCAAGTTAGTATATTTTATGTATTGTGTTTAGTTATACTAGATATATGTCATAAGCCAGGAATCAGAATCTAACTTCTAAAACATTCTTTAGTTAGTATATTAAAAACTCTATTGCAATCTTCCGTGTGTGTAACCAAAATTTTGTACCGTATAGTCCCAGTTGTGCTAATGAAGAGGAAAAGATGCATGAAAAATAAATGAACTTCAGGAAATTTAAGGTATTTTATGGTTTACTGTCACAAGTGTCAGATTAATTAAGTTTATGGTGGCGCTTATTCTCTGCATTGATAACCATGAGACTTACAGAAGAAGTGTATGGAACATACAATGTGTGTTTCATTTTTCTGTATACTTTCTGTTCAAAGTATGTTATACTGTAATCAGTATTCTGTAAAGTGTGGAAAAATACATCTAGAAATGTACATATGTCATCATATAAATTGGTCATTCAAATTGCATGCTGTGAATGAAGT